ACATTCAGTTGTTATTTCATAAGTTGCGGATTCAATTCGTTCATCTACTTGATTGATAACTTATTTGTGTATGTTGATTGAGAGTGCACGCTTAGTTTTCATGCATGAATATGATGCTAGATTATGAGGGAATTTCACCTAATAGTTACAATCTTATAATCACAAGTAGTGAAGGTCGCTTGAAAACGATCGCGTTGAATGAATTCTTGGCACTAGTTTCATGCTCATCATAGTAACGAATGCCTCGTCAACACTTATAGTTCTCATTGTGCTTCATGATTCTTGATTGTATCTTTATTGTGCTCATCACGTAAGGAACCTTTGAGGAATGCTTTGAATTGTTGTATGCGCTTTTCCATCCAATTCATTAACTTAAGGAGAACTTGAAGGTTAATTTAAGCGTATCTAATTAACTTGGGGTGTTGAGTTTCATAATTTATTGAAAGAACAACTGAAAATCATTTTGTTTGCAAGTGTGTGTCATGTGTGGAGAAGAACCTCCTAACTAGCCTTTTATCCATCCTTTTCATCCAAAAACGTTTTACAATCTGTTTTGTTTTAAAGTTTCTGTTTTGTTTTCAATTTTCGTCCAAAACAAATCCCCCTTTATTTTGAAGTCTTAGATTAGTTAGAAAGTGTTTTGATTTGTGTTTCTAAGTGTTTTTATTCAAGTTTTTATCCAACTTCGTCCAAGTTCTTGTTAGGTTCTCAAAACTGCCCAGAAAGTGGTTTTTAGGTAGTTTTGAGTCATTAGGTTGCTGTTTTGAGTTTTATGTTTGTTTAAGTATTTTAAAGTATAGTTTTGCATTCTTTGAGTCTAGTTAGTGTTTTAAATTTTATTTTTATGTTTTTAAGTCAGTTTTCAAGTGTTTAGCAATCCCTCCTAATCCCCGGCCTAGAACGATCCCTACTTACATACTTTACTACATTTGATAAAAAGAGGGTTTAATTTGTGTGCTTATATATTTCGCATCAGGTGGGGTGGGGTGGTTTGGGGGATTCGGGGGTTGGGTTGCAAAGGAAGGGATGGAGGAGGTTGAAGGTGACTAGAAGTAGTGGTGGGGCCCATTATAAATGTTTAAAAATATTAACATAAAAATTATTTTCTTTCCTATATGGCATGTTAAAGAAATCCACGTTAGCAAAAATATGAGCCTTACAAGTGCCACATCATTCCTTAACAGTTAAACTAATGGTTTGACTAACGGATGTACGAAATTGCAATAAAATTCAAATTTGTATATAAAATTGAAATGTTTTAAAGATAATGTATGAGGTTGCAATTGCACCAAAAGTTGAGAGGACAAAGTGTAATTTACCCATTAATTAAATTTTTTTAATTAATTATTATGATGGTTATATGTCAAAAATGGGCCTCGAAATAGTTTCATATGTCTAAAAAATGGGTAAATTACGTTTTACCCACTCAAGTTTGAAGTCAATTACAACTTCTTACAACATCTTTAAAACATTTCAATCTCATACGTTCACAACTATTTCATTTCAATTTCATACAACCGTTACAATTTATGTCAATCATTCCGTTATCTGCTTACATGGCCATAGGGGACCCTACAAAATTTGTGCCGAGTGGATAAAAACAAATAAAATAATTTGTAATTATAAAATGCACACCCTCTCCACCGTCTCTCTTGCTTCTTGCAAGAACTCAAATCCGCCCATAGCTGCCACAACACTCTTTCCCTCTCACTCTCACCCAACACATTCTCAGACTTCCGCACACTCCCTAAACCATGAAAGTATCTTCCTTTTCCCCTTCTTCTTCTTCCCCACTCTCTCTCCTATTATTCTCTCTCCAAACCTTCATAACTCTCTCTCCCCTCTTCAACTTCAACCCACATGTTCATACCCAGAACGGCCTAGCAGAAACATTCATCAAATGTTTTCAAATGATTGTACGATCATTGGTCATACGTACCAAGTTCCAGATCTCTGTTTGGGGCCATGCAATGTTACAAGCAACCATATTGGTCCACCTGAGGCCTATCATGACCCAACCTTATAAAGCACGTATTAGTTGGTTACCAGATACGAACCCGACATATCGCATATGTGCATCTTTGGTTGTGTGGTCTATGTGCCATTTGTGCCGTCTTAATGTACAAAAGAAAAAAAAATGGTCCTCAAGGAAGGATGGAAATCTATGTTGATTATGATTCTCTTTCTAATATTCTTTACTTATAACCTTTGACAAGCAATCACCATACCTAAAGAATGACACGAATTACGGTGAACGTCCCTATTATCTCAATCTAAATCATTAGAGTATGACCAGACACTTCCTAAATCATCAGAGTATTACCAGACACTTCCTCTGACCTAGCAAAACTGATGAGATCACATATACCAACTGCAAATGTGCCTGCAAAGATGAATGTACCAAATGTACGACGAACCTTCGTCCCTAAAAGCAAGAATGCCACTATTGTGGCCGACCCTGGCGGTTAGCCAATCAATCTATTCTAAGCCAGAAACGTGGCAGATCACTCGGTTCGAGGATTCACTTATCCAAAATTGGAGGAACATGACACGAACGAATATGCCCCTTGATCGTTGTCTCAATCCTTTCCATCTCATGAGAATAAATTTGGATTACTCCCGAGACCTGAAGTTCTTGTCAAGTATACTAGTTTGGATGAGATATGAAATTGGAATGAGATTATCATAAATGATGCTGCTTCATTTATATGGTAACTACTGACATAAATGAAAAGCGACGATAACGAACCGTGTTTCGTTGATTAGTGTCAACGTAGAACTGATTGGTCAACTAGAAGAATCAATCTATGACAAATGAGATGAATGAAATAATGCGAATGACGCCTTATGGCGCAAGGTTTCTCTCATACGCCTTGTGATTAATGCAGCATTACAAACGTGGTTGTAATATATCTAGGATCCTAATACGAATCCTACATGGAGTTTCCAAATGACTTATATGTACTGATTAAAATAGTTATATACCACAAGAACGCCCTCTTTGTTCAAATAAGGACTTCATTTTACAGATGCAGAACTATCCGAGCAGATGTGGTATACTCGTCTAAGTGAATATTTGATCAGTTAGGGATATATGTCCTTGCATGTACAAAATTCGAAATTGCTTGAGAAAATTAACTCGCTTCTAAAGTCGAATTTTAAGATGTATGATCTCAGAAAAACTCAACATTATCTCAACCTAAAGTTTCGTGCTAGTTCTGATGGTATTCTGTGCTCCACTTAAACTAGACCCAGAAGGTGTTATGTCCGAGTATACCCTGATCATCTGTATGCCATATGCAAATGAGACCTTTACGGATGATATGGAACATAAGGTTCCATATTGGAACATAAGGCAACCATATCTAAGTACAATTAGCGTTTGTTGTACTTAGCTCAATGCACTAGAATCAGACATTTTATGTACTGATAATCTTTTGGCATAAAGCAGCACTGCGCCTATACGCCACCACCAAATTTGGTGTTAAAGACATTTTTCAGTTACTACTGATTTGGGCTTATCTATCCCTATGCCTCTCATAATATATCACACCTCCTTGATCTTCGGAATGATGTCTACCTTGTGGGATTTACTAAATCAAACTATCTATCTGACCGCACAAGGTACGTTCCCGAATGGTTATGTCTTTATCATTAAGGAACACCATAATATCTTGGAGGTCCGTGATATAGACCTTTAGTTGCAAAACCTTTGAATCGTTCCAAGACTCACTGTATCTCATCATGTGAGAGATATGGTCGAGAACTCTTGTTGAGCATATTCAAACTCCTTGCGATTTTCATCCATTGTTGAGACTCAACAACAATCCATGAAGACAACGCCATATGTATCGACTAGATCATGAAACATCCAACAAGTCAACACCAAGCATGTTGTATCTACATCAGCATAAGCATCAGAAGATTGAAGTCAAGCAATTTGATCCTAGACAACCTTGCCAACCTATACACAATGTCACTGCCGAAGTCTACCTTCCATAAGCTTGTTCGAGGAATTGGTATGCGTAACTTTCTCGTTTGCGATGCTTATAGTTTTATTTGGAAGTTCTGTCAAACTCAGGGGAAGTATCTAGAAGTATACTCACTTGACCTTAATGTACTCTTTTTCCCTACGCTAAGCATTTTTCCTGCTAGGTTTTTGCTACCTAACTAGGTTTTGATGAGGCACCCATCCTGGTTGGTCATACCCTTGTCTACGTCCTACTTGCGTCCGGAAGACGTATAGTTTTGACTTAATACAACTTCTCACTTTTTTTCTTTAGCTATGGACTTTTGTCCTAACTTGGGTTTTGTCATAGTGAGATTTTGTGAGTTTTACTATCCATGCATTCTTCCATTTGTTTTGAGACTAGCATTCGCTACTTGTACTGACTAGACGAGACGACTTCATCAAATGCTTCTACATTTGCCTGAAGATCTGATGCACCATCTACTTGAGAATTTGCACACTCAAGGGTGTGTGTTGTGACATATGTTCTAATACATATTATGATTGTGTAAATTCTAAGTAGAGATAGATTAGGAATCGTTTGGGATCTAGAAGATCTTTGCTAATAAACTTTGTGTTACTTAGAGAGCAAATTTCTCTCCTCCTTATTACTATAAATAAAGGCACAAAAAACTGAACAATTAACACACAATTCCTCAAACCTATTCTCCACCTTCTTTCTGTCCATGTCGCACCCTTCAGTTAAATATAGGCCACAACAATGGATAATTTAAAAAATGAATTTTTATTAATTTTCAATCTTTTCCAAGGATTAAAGTGGAAAAAAAAACCTTTGCTCTTTCACATGAAATATAAGCAACATTTCACAATCACAATATATTTCGGTGGATAGCCCATTGCCAAAACCAAAATAACACATGATTAATTATTCAACTGCTCGAATATTTGCTGAATACAAATTTAAATAACAGATTCACAGAGTTCTCTGGTTTATTTCGGCATACAGATGATTGAGTAGCTATTCTTATGACTACTCAAGTTCAGCATGCCTAACAGGCTTATTCATTAACAGATGAGAACTTAATGGGGATAAATTTCTTCGCAGCTTGAATTTCACTAAAGGGGAGACAAAATCTATCCCTTTCGTGAGGTAGTGATTCAAATAATCTTTGAAATCAACTTCTTTGTAGATTTGGGGATTTCCGTCTGATAACAACTCCTTGATTGGTCCAGAAGCATTTGATTTTCCTCCCTGAACATATGGCCTGAAAAAGATTGGCACTGAAATTCTTGGTCCCACCTTCTGCGCTATAACTCTGTGATAGACACTAATGAATCTGCCATTCGTGATGAGCTGCACAAAAAAAAGAGCATAAAGTTATTACTATTCTAATTAAATCTAATTTGAATTGTGGGAAGGGAGATTCAAACTTTGGTACAGAGGACCGATTCCCTTTAGCCGACTTGGCTACGCCCAGGTGTACTTATTACGAGTAATTTAGTATAAGGGTTGTCATTTGGACTTTAAAATTGATAGATAATACAATGATAAGTAGGGCTAATTAATCAATGAATTCTTGCCTGCAGAAGGTCACCAATGTTGATAACTAGAGCTCCTTTCTTTGGAGGAACATTAACCCATTGATTATCATATAAAACTTGGAGGCCACCAATTTGGTCTTGTAAAAGTACGGAGATGAAGGTGCCATCAGTGTGCTTGCTAGTGCCCAAAGTTAATTTTGGTTCAGGGCATGCTGGGTAGTAGTGACCAAGAAGAAGTTGCCCCTCAGCGCAACCCATGTCTTTCAGTTTGTTTGGATTAAGCCCAAGAGCCTCAGAAAACAACTCAAACAAAGTATGTGCCAATTTCATCACTTTCTCCGAGTACTCTATCACTATTTCTCTGTAAGAATATTTTATGTTAATTTTATAAGAAATTTATAACAAAAATTACAGTACCTTGTAAATCCCAAACTTAGAGAATCAATTAAGAGTAATTTTATTTAACCACCCAACGCTGACCACATACCATTGCATAACGGAGTTAGATTACTGTTAGTGTTATGCGTCTAAATTGCATTATTGATTATTTAATTACCCTACATTTGAATACATACCTGCACACTGAAGGCACCTCTTCTGGCGTTGGTGGATTAGGAGCCATATAACAGGAAAACGTATCCCTCCAATTAGCTTCTTGAGCATGGTACAAATCATAATTGGAGGAATAAAGAACCTTCCCACTCTCACGGGAATACAACTTTTTCTTCAGCTCAGTGTCCCGCTCATGGAACCTACGCATTCCGTCAATCATCCTATCTAAAACATCATCAGAAATTCCATGATTGATCACCGCAAAGAAACCCCATTTCTCACTTGCATATCGAACTTTCTCAATTACTTCAGCTCGCAAAACTGAGTCATTATGGATGTTTTTTAGGTTAATGATTGGAATACTCAATTGGACATCATCACTTGCCACCTTCCATTCATCATCGCTCAGTTGCTTGGAGTGAAAAATAGATGGGAGTTTTGTAATGCCTGCATCAAGCAGTCCCTTCACACCACCTTTTGTTTCGTCGAATGCTTTTAATTCCCTTATCCGATCCGTATTACTGTTGGCCTTGACTCCAGCCATTTTCCTTGTCTTGCAAAAACAAGTACGCAAGTTAATTACACTAATCATATAGGAAGCACAAATCAAAGAAGATGAGACTCTATGCACTTACCAAGAGGGAGCAGAAACAGCCTACGATGTGTGGTGAGGTCTTAGAACTAGAAATATAAAAGGAAAAAAAATGGCTTTAGGGAAGGTGGATCATGAGGTGGCAGTGTGCATGAACGGGCTTTCTTGAGTTTTCAAAGTAAGTGACACTTGGCTTTCATGCACGCAGGTGATATCTAGCTGATGAGAATACAGGACATGAATCATAAATGTAAAAGTGAAAGTGATGAAAGCAATATTAATTTTAATGAGATTGTAGTGATATCAGAATATCTGAGAATTAATGGAGTCAAAGCTATAGAGTGCATCGTTTGCATCTGCACCCATCGGATCTTATAGGATTGTGTTTTTTAAATCTTTGATGTCCTTTGCTTTCGTTAATATGGACAGGGCAGATTGAGTATTATTATTTTTACCATGTGATCTGATATCCTAGCTAGGGAATACAATAATGAAATGGATAATGCTAGAAAAATTAAATTTGTAGGTAAAACTTACAAACTAAATAATGTGTCATCAATATGAATAAATTTACTCTCCCTAGCATTATCCTATTGGATTTTCACTCATACATCGCGAGTTTGAAACTACTCATTCCTTAAATTATGGCAAGTGCCTTCGCCCATGAGCGGTAGGTCTCGGGTTCGAGACTTGGGAGCAGCCTCTCCATAAATAGGGGTAAGGCTAGCCGACATTCACCTCTCCCAGACCCTGCGTAAAGCGGGAGCCTTGTGCACTGGGTACGACCTTTTTATTCTTCATCACCGGTTAACCCAAAACAAGTGTTTTGAAAGTTTTAAACCCTTAAATTTTCCCAACCATGTAATTAATAGAGCTCTAAATTGAGAGAAATCGTAAGGTAAATCTGAATTATTAGAATTCACTACTTATTTCCACCTCAGTTTCTTCAACTTTATAAACATCTAAACCATTACAAATAGTAGCAAAGCTAGAAATTGTTAGGGGGAGAGACGAAATTTAAAAGGGTAAAAAGTTTCAAAAAATTTTAGACAATCAAATCCTTTTAGTCAGTAGACAATATTAACATTGTTCATAATTTATCAAGCCAATTGTATTACACACTACACGTAATTGCCTACGAATCCATAGACAAACTAAATGCACTAAAATCCATTGCCAAACCGTAGAATAGAAACTACTGGCCCTCTTTTGTAAGTAGTATTTCATTGTACAGTTTTCATTAACTGATCAAATTGTGGAGTAATCTTATATTTATCCACCTCCAAGAATTGACTCAGATAATAACTTCCCTGGACATATGTAACATAAACAGAGGATTTTAATCAATATGACATCTCTAATGTTAAATCCTAATGGCGCACAAGATGAAGCATAAGAGAAGAACCTGCAACAAGGAAGCAACAGATGGATAAAAATCCTAAAACAAAATAGAATGAATGTCACTTGATAATTCAAACTCGAATACCGAATTAGCTTTGTTTCAAAAAAAAAATACCGAATTAGCTCCAGTTCCATCCAAACTTACTCAAAACAACAAAATGCCCCATTCAAACTAGAGAGAACAAATTCAACCTGGAAACCACAATTAGCACTAAACCCAGATAAATTCACACTAAATCATACAAACCCATCTCACAGTTGAATATCAGAGTATGCAACGAACAAGATTACAAAATAATAGGAATATTATTAAACAAACGAGAATGCCGGAACGGCTACAAAACCCTAAAAGGCTACATTGTGACTAACTTCTTTCACAAACTAAATTACAAGCAATATTTCTAGAGAACTAAACCTAAGAAAACCTAACTCGGATGGGCTGAGCCCAAATCCTAAACTAACAAGCAAAACCCAAATACTAAAATAAACCTAAATACTAATATTTTCCAACACCCTTCGTCAAACTCATGGCGGTACACTACATGGGTTTGCCAAAGTAGATGTGGATGCAAGACTCTAAATTCCAGTGCCAATGCCAATTCTAATGCCAATGCTAATGCCGATACCAATGCCGATACCAATGTCGATGCCAATGCCAATACTAATGCCAATACCAATGCAAATTCCAACTTCCAAACAAACAATCAAAAAATCCAATTTACTATGTCCACAACATCACTCGAATGGTCATCAGTCCAAACATTCGAGCGATCGTCGTAGTGGGAACGACAAACAAACCAAACATATCATATTTCTTTCTTGCCCGTGTGGGCCTAAAACACAATTTTTTTTTCTTCCTTCCTTTTCTCTGCCTTTCTTCAATTCATGCAAAACCAATTGCAGCAAACAAGGCTTGCAAAACCAATTGCAGCAAAAAAATAAAAAACTTCCAGTGCAAAGTCAAACTGTAGAAGGGGACTTCATAGAATTGTGATAAATCTGACTTGAACGAGTTGGGTGCAAATACAGTGAACAGGTGGATGTAGCAGCGGAGATGGTGGTGCGGGTTAGACTGCAGGTGATCCAAGGCGGAGATGAACTTGATCTGAGTTTGTGATTCTCGGGTCTGGGCTTCATCAAACAAGCAAGTGATCAGAGACGAATACGGACGGCGGGGAAGGACCAGAAGGCTGTCAACACAACTGAAAAAATTATCATTTTTTTTCCTTGCAAACTGTCAAACACAACTAGACAATTTGAACATGAACAACAACGGACACAAGCAAACAGATACCAACCCAAAGCAGATTAAATCTCGAAGGATGAAACCTACTCTAATACCAAGTTGAATATCAGAATGCGCAACGAATAAGATTACAAAATAATAGGAATATTATTAAACAAACGAGAATGCTGGAACGGCTATAAAACCCTAAGATGCTACATTGTGGCTAACTTGTTTCTCAAACTAAATTACAATCAATATTATAGAGAACTAAACCTAAGAAACCCTAACTCAAATGGATTAAGCCCAAATCCTAAACTAACAAGAAAAACCCAAATACAAAAATAAACATATATACTAATATTTCTAACACTCACATCATCAATTAATTTAAATTATGCAAACAAAAATAAGGGACGGTGCATGGTGTTGAAATGGGTGGACGGCAGTGGCGCAGGAGAAACTCTTGCAGCCTTTGTTGTTGATTGTCGCCCTCTCCAATGGCAGAATAAAGGTTTTGCAGCCTGCAGATCGTATAATGCCTGAAGGCTGTGAAGGCTGAGGTAACAGGGAACCAGTGGTCACCCCTTTAATTATTATTTTTTTCAACAACCGACTAAATGGACGGTGTCGTTTACTTGAGCACTATTTCAAATTTTTTTAATCACTAAATGAACCGCACCCATCGCGATCTTATAGGATTGTGTTTTTAAATCTTTGATGTCCTTTGCTTTCGTTAATAGGAACAGGGCAGATTGAGTATTATTATTTTTACCTGTGATCTGATATAATCCTAAGCAGGGAATACAATAATGAAAATGGATTAATGCTAGGAAAAATTAAATTTGTAGGTAAAACTTTACAAACTAAATAATGTGTCATCAATCATAATAAATTTACCTCCCTAGCATTATCCTATTGGATTTTCACTTCATTAACTATCGCGAGTTTGAAACTACTCATTCCATTAAAATTATGGCAAGTGCCTTTCGCCCATGAGCGGTAGGTCTCGGGTTCGAGACTTGGAGCAGCCTCTCCATAAATAGGGGTAAGGCTATCCGACATTCACCTCTCCCAGACCCTGCGTAAATCGGGAGCCTTGTGCACTGGGTACGACCCTTTTTATTCTTCATCACGGTTTAACCCAAAACAAGTGTTTTGAAAGTTTAAACCCTTAAATTTTTCCCAACCATGTTAATTAATAGAGCTCTAAATTGAGAGAAATCCGTAAGGTAAATCTGAATTATTAGAATTCACTACTTATTTCCACCTCAGTTTCTTCAAACTTTATAAACATACTAAAACCCATTACAAATAGGTAGCAAAAGCTAAGAAATGTTAGGGGGAGAGACGAAAAATTTAAAAGGGTAAAAAGTTTACAAAAAATTTTAGACAATCAAAATCCTTTTAGTCAGTAGAACAATATTAACATGTGTTCATAATTTATCAAAAGGCCAAATTGTATACACCCATACACGTAATGCCTACGAATCCAGTAGACCAAAACTAAATGCACTAAAAATCCATTGCCAAACCGTAGTAATAGAAAACTACTGGCCCTCTTTTGTATAGTAGTATTTTCATTGTACAGTTTTTAACTGATCCAAATTGTGGAGTAATCTTATATTTTATCCACTCAAGAATTGACTCAATAATAACTCCCTGCGACATATGTCAAAACAGATATTTAATCAATATGAAAATGTTAATCCTAATGCGCACAAAATAGCATTGAGGAAGAGCAAAATTAGCAAAAGATGGATAAAAATTCCTAAAACAAAATAGAATGAATGTCAACTTCATTAATTCAAACTCGAATACGATTAGCTTTGTTTCAAAAAAAAAAATACCGAATTAGCTCCAGTTCCATCCAAACTTTACTCAAAACAACAAAATGCCCCATTCAAACTAGAGAGAACAAATTCAACTGAAACCACCCAATTAGCACAAACCCAATTAAACACACTAAATCATACAAACCCATCTCACAGTTGAATATCAGAGTATCAACGAACAAGATTACAAAATTAATAGGAATATTAATTAAACAAAAGAGAACTGCCGGAACGGCTACAAAACCCTAAAGGCTACATATGGACTAACTTCTTTCACACTAAATTACAAGCAATTATTTTAGAAGAAAAAAAAGAAAACCTAACTCGATGGGCTAGCCCAAATCCTAAACTAACAAGCCTCTCCCAATACTAAAAATAAATAATACTAATATTTTCCAACATTTTAAAACTAGCTTACCACATGTTATGAGTGATCCTCTTAATTGAGTTATTTCACCTCTTGACCCATCATACCCTTCGATGCCAATGTA